CAAAAGTTTAGGGGTTGAATCCCATGGAGAGGAGAGAGGGGAGGAGGGAAAGAGTAGGGGTTGGAGGAGGAAAAAGATTAGCTCATCCTCTAAACTAATCATCTGGATCAGCTCCGGGTACCTCCGTACCTAGCCAGCCGGACTGAAATTAGCTACCACTCAGACAAGAAACGGCGGCAGCCCTGTGTGTACAGGAAAGAAACAAAATAGAACTGAACGTATCCGGCTGGCGTATATGTAGGGCTGTTAAAAAAAAGCTCGAGGCTCGCAAGCTACTCGAACTCGGCTAGTCTTAGGCTCAACTTGAGCTCGATTCGACCATCATACGAGCCAAGCCCGAGCTTGCACTAAGGCTCGCGAGCCTCATTGAACCGAGTTTGAACAGCTCGACGAGCTCAGCTACTCACCTACAGTCAAAAAGTGCCATGCTATTTTCTTACTACTCCATATGTTTGACTTGTTTTATATCTATGCACCATGGGTTAGCAGCAAGCCCACACCTGTCTTATATGGAGTATTAAATCATTCGTACCAGCCTAGTACTCCTACTAGCACTAGCACACTCCCCAATAAAAAGCTGCATGATAGATTCGCGTGCATCTCTATCAGTGCTAGTAGTACAAGCTCTCACATATTGTCTGCCCGATGCTAGTAGTACAAGCTTGCATGTTGTCCTGTGCATGTTAGGTGGTGTTTGAATCTCCTGAAGATGAAGATGAAGATTAAGTGTTTTACGCTAAACGAGATGGTAATAATGTGTGATTAATTAAGTTTTAATTATTACAAACTTGAAAAATGGATTAATATAATATTTTAGAATAACTTTCATATAGAATCACACGAAACACACCATTTAGCAGTTTGAAAAGTGTACCACTTCAATCCAAAATTTAATCCACCCTTTTGAGGACATTCAAACGGGGCCTTAGTAGTACAAGCTCGTATGATGCGGCTATGTACATACTCGAAGCTCGAGAAAAAGCTCGAAGCTTGAATGAGCTGAGCATGAGCCTGACTAAAAACTCGAGACTTGACGAGGCTCGGCTCGAGCTCGACTCGAGTCTATACCGAGCTCGAGCTCAGACAAGCAATCTCGCTCAAGCTCAGCTAGTTGACAGCCCTACATATATGGCTATGTCAGTTACTAGTAATTAAAACTTGCTGGTATATTGAGATATATATATATATATATATATATATATTATGTTATTCATTAAGCTTCTTTGTATTCTTTTTCATTGAATCCAAATCGATAGATCGTTTGATCATCATGGGGTGCTCCTAATGTGCCCCCCTCTCCTGCTTACCGTTAATGGTGCTAGGTAGCACCAATGATAATTTTTACTATTAGTTTTTTTTAGAAAAACACATAAATAATTTAGAAAACTTTTATCTCAGATTTAAAAAACATTCAACTCAGATTTGAAAGCATTTAAAACAAAGATTTAAAAACTTTAAACTTATATTTGAAAACTTTTAAGTCAATATTTGGAGCTTTCAAATTAATATTTTTGAAAACTTTCAACTCAGATTTGAAAATTTTTAAGTTGGATTTAACAACGTTAAACTCAATTGAAAACTTTAATATAAAAATTCAAAAAATTCAAATTAAATTTTAAAAAAATTTCAAAATCAAAATTTAAAACTTCTAACAAAAATTTTAGAAACTTTTGACTCAAAATTTGAGTTGAATCATGCGCGCGTGTGTGCACGTGATTACAAAAATATTCAAAAAAAATTGCAAAAATAAAACCATGCACACGTGATTAAAAGAAATCATGAAAAATACCACAAAATCGTGATTTTTTCATCCAAATCCATTTTTTGACCGGCCCACAAAGCAGACCCGACACAAAAATTCACGCTGCATGAAGCTAACACATGTGTGAGCCTGGTGCGTTGCAACATACATGAGTTAACGAATTTGCGTGTCTACACAGATTAGTTTTTCCGCTTCATTGGTCACAGATAACAATGTATGCCAACGAAATTTCTAACCATCTGTCGATAAAAAATCCATCCTCAAATCTTAAAGATTTTTGTCCACTGGTTGTGCATTGCGATTTGTTCTCTTGGCCTTACTCCTCCAACTCTGCAGTGTCGACAGTTAGCAGTGGGGGAAAACGAAGCAATAGGTTAGGAGGTGGCAGCCGGCGGGGGCAAATCCAGCAGCGAGGATCCAGGAGATGAGGAAGTCGGTGGAGATCTAGTTTAGACCTCGATATTTCATTTCTCCTTTTGAGTTCATTTAAGTGTTACATCTCCTCTATTTAAGATGGTAGATTATCATCATGGTTTTTTGAATTGCTAAATGCAATGCTCTCTTGTTGTTCTAGATTATGTTGCAGTTGTTTTTTTTAGTTCATGTAAGTGCTAGCATGATCTCCTGTACCTCATACAGTAGTTTGTAACTATGGGAGGTTGGGATACTATTTGATAAACTTAGGTCACCTGTTAATGTTAGAGTTATCTAGAGACTGCACTTCTTTTAGTAAGCAATAACTGTTTTGATGAATCTAGGTCATGCATTAAATTGAAATTGACTTAACTAGAAATTGTAATAAATAATTATTTTTATGGTAAGTGATATGTGTATGTCGATATTGTTATGGCATATATTTAGTTTAAATAGTTTCATAGGTAGAGAGAATATGATGTGCTACACAGCTTCATAGAGTATATCTCAAAAGAGTAACTACCTTCATGACCATAGTGACGAGTTCCAAATCAGTGGATTTGCGAGAATACATGCTTTGTTCATCTGTTGATCATAGGAATGAGAGAGAATTTCATGCACGACAAGTTCATTCACATCTTATTAGAAGGGTTTTATGCCTAATTATAAATGCCCGATCAACCTTGGTGAAGATAAGGTTGTAGCCTTGTAGGGAGAGATGGAGACCACAAGTCCACAACGGCCTCCTAAATGATGAAGTTGGAAACGAGACTTATGAACATGATGTGGGCCCTGTTTAGATCCCTTGGCAAAATTTTTCATCCTATCATATCGAATGTTTGGACACATGTATGAAGTACTAAATATAAACGAAAAAAATAACTAATTACACAGATTGCGTGTAAATTGCGAGACGAATCTTTTAAGCCTAATTGCTCCATGGTCTGACAATGTGGTGTTATAGTAAACATTTGCTAATGACGGATTAATTAGGCTTAATAAATTCGTCTCACAGTTTACAGGCGGATTCTATAATTTGTTTTGTTATTAGTCTACGTTTAATACTTCAAATGTGTGTTCGTATATCTGATGTGACATACCAAAACTTTACACCCCTGGATCTAAACACAGCCGTAGATAAGATTTGCACAATGGGGAAAGAGGTTACACCAACGATAGGGACTTCGAGAAGTGTGCATGGTAGATGACTCAAAAACTCCACTTTATCCTAGTTGCAAGTAGTAGCACAACAAATTTGCTTATCGTCTTATCGCTACTATAGCTGAAAGCTAGCAACAGTGACAAAATCTGCCCCAACATCTTTTGCGGAAAGGTCATAGCAAGAGCAGGTGAAGAAATGTTCCCTTGCACCAGTGGAATAGAGCACACTTGACAAGTCTACGTTGTTTTGCACACAATGCGTTGTACCTAACATGCCTCATATTTAGATCAGAAAATTGCAGCCATATGAACACCTTGATCTTCATCACACATTTCGGGGATGTTCACTTTGCTATTATTTTTAACCATACCAAACTTTGGCACTGCCAAATTTTGTTAAGGTAACAATTCAAACATATCTTAAATAATCTACCATAACTTACCATACCAATATTTGGTGATTTTCTAGAAACTTATTAACATAATACCATACAAGAATATTTGACAAGACCTCAATCTTTCCAAATTTTGGCTTCACTAAACATTGCCAAAATTTGGTCTTGCCAAAAGATGATAAGGTTATTGCAGGATAGGCTTAATGATTTTTTGGACGTCCAACATATATTCAGCCCCAAAAACGGATTTTGCCACAAAGTATTCCCTCTAGAGAGCATATGGAGCACAGACAAAATGCTCATGCCCACCTCCTCTCCTAATGTAATCCCTGCATGATTTTTCTTTACATGCTTTCGTGATTGCTTTGCATGATGAGAAGAAAAGCATAATGTATGGCTTAAAAATATGTTCTACCATAGAACAAATATTGGACCAAAATAGGCTCACCAACTTTTCGTGTACAATGAAAAATGGAAAAAGAAAAAAAAGGCAGCGTTGCTCATAGTTGGGTACAACTAACACATGGTAAAATTTGAATTTTGCTTAACACAATATCAGTCGCTCCACAATGAGAACTAGTTTGTGTCCAACCAAGCTGACTCGAATCATCTAGCATCATGCAACAGAACCGTTTTCGCAGTTTTGCTACTAGATTAAGCTCAGCTTTTGTTGCCTCTGCTTTCTACCATGTTTGTAGCATCGACTTGAGGAAATCCTATATTCAAGAATGCATGGAAAACGAAAACTGGCATAGGATATCGCTACCGCTTTTCATGGGCAGAGATTTGAATTCCCAATACCTCCGGTACCCATGATCATCAAATTTTGCTCTACCATGTGAGAAACCTAGCTAGTATGGGTTTTGTATCCAGTAGACTGGTAGATGATTGGGTACTACTAGCTTACTAACATTGTTAAGTAATCTATTGTGTTCCCTCATGGAGTTTGTTTTGTTTCAAGCTCTCTATTATTGCAAGCATAGTATGATCAAGGCTGTTCTGGCCCATGTGGAGATCGATTCCGAACATATATAAAGAGCGAAATCTGAAGTGATGTTGGCCTCTTTGATGTCTAATAAAGACTGGAGTTAAGTTTTACGAATTAAAAAAAGGTTATCTATATTTTTCTAAAAAAAGGATTATATATGCATAATTGTTAATCTGGTAACTTGGTAATTTGTAGAGTATAATGTTATTTATTTATATATTTTAATAATTACTTGTCAATCTTAACGCGGAATACTCTTATTCAGTTAGCTTCAGCAAACTGTTGAACATTAAAGGAATACTCTTAATTATGTGCAAAATTTGCATTATTTCTGTTTCGACGCAGGGGCTCATATGACTAGTATCGATAAAAACATGGTCATCAAGGATTGCAGGGCTCTCCGGCTCTCAGATCTTCATTTAACAACCATCGCCTAAATCTGAAAAGAGAGTAAAAATCAACCAGACAGGCACACAAAAGTCGGAAGCGAATCATGCTTGAAGCAATTGATAACTCACAATCCATCCCCGAATAAAGTCTCAGCTGATACCTCCCATGTCTATTTCTTTCACATACCAGAGATTATATCACCCTTATCATTCCAAACGAACAAGGAAGGTGGAGGAGTTTGATCAGTGACGGTGCACCCTTCCTCACTTTCTCCTTCGGCCTCACCAAACATGGAATTCAGACAATGTTGGTCATATGGCCATATGGTTTATATGTATACACGGCGATCAACGTTCACTGCACAAGGACTAGGTCCTTATGTTTAGCACTTAACATTGACTTCAATTAATTTGTTCAACTTTTGGCTACCATCTTAAATGGTTGGGAGAATATATATTTTCGGGTGAGAAATATTGAATCTTTTGTAAGGGGGAAATATTATAGCTTTGCGGAGCACTAGTCACAGTTATATAACATGTTGTTCAAATTATACCGTGGAATCTCAAATCACGAGAAAGAATTGGTCATATGTTGCAGTTTGGAAGAATGTTTTTTATAGTTAAAAGATTCTTAATAATTGTTATAAAACTGGCAACCATAGCACATCGATAACTAAGAAAGAACACCATAGGAGATGCAAAATTGATGATAAAACAAACGATATTTATTAACGAGGTTCAACTAAAGCGTACGGGCTTGTTTGTTTTATACCTTGCGAATCATGCATGAATTAATTCTTAGGCATCCGATTTTGGTGGTCAACGGTTGGATGCACTTGTCTAGGCAAGAGCCCCCAGGCTAGGGCACCATCCAAACATGCCTTACGTCTTTGTGACATTGATTATGGGCGTTCCTCTCTTATCATACATAATTATAGCTTATCATAGTAACAACGACCCTCAACCGGATGCCGCTAGCCAGCTGCATAGGACAGAGTTAGACTCTGATACTATCCTAATACCTACAACTCGAAGTTCTAAATTGTAACTAACTTTGTATACATATTTGACACAAGCTCTAATAATAATATTGCTGGTGACTATTTCACCAACTAAGTGATATCCGGTTTTTCTGTTTATTTTGATTTTGCTAGATTAAAGTAATATTTTTAGTTGTTGTAATAGAATTCATTTTGTTTCATGCAATGAAAATATGCTATGCTTTTAACAGATATAAAGAAAACAGCTAGTGTCTTAATATAGTCCAAATGTTTGCACTACATATTTAGGGACAACAAATAATTGCTAAATTCATCTATGCTTGCATTTTGTTTTAGACCCACAGTTTCTGTGAAACACGACATTTTTATTGTATCTCTTTGATTCACAGTTTCTGTGGCTAGAAGTGTCTACACTATGTCAGGGATTCACATATGATGATTCAAAAAAAAAAGGTGAACTCGTGCACTAAAAGGTGAACACGACATTAGGAGAGTTGCAAATTAATCCAAGTGAAAGATCCACAACCATACATCATCACCCCGGTCCTGATTACTTACAGTTGCAAATCCAAGTGAATTTCATCGTGGCAAACTTGTGGAATGTTTTCCCTATCGCTCTGATTCTACCTTAACATCAGTTAATCCTATTCACCGGGAACAAGGAAAAGAGATGTTGAATGCGGCACAATACAAATACCTAAACTCCTGGTACATCTCATGCCCATGGCCATCTCTTTTGACCGTAGAATATACATCAGTGACTATAGGTTTTGGTTGCAGCTAGAATAGTGCAAAATCTTGCATTTACTAGTCTTATATAGTTCCCATCTCTTGGTCCATGAGTTCTTCTCAGCTCTCGTTTGCTACCAACCTTTTGTGGCCATGGTTGTTCGAGTTTATTATCAAGAACACAAGGATTATTCATATACAGCTCCATCTTTGTCTTTATGTAGATCAGCACATGCATGTATTACAGACATAACTCCGGAAGGGAAAAGATGTCTCAATTCGTTCGCTGCATTAATTAAAGCCATGTCACTCTACAAACTGACATGTATAATTACTCTGGAATTATAATGTCCTCGTGTAAAATAAACAGTCATAACTGTCACAAGAAAATAAATAATACCCCACTCTGGATATTCATGCATGAGTTTGTCATTTTCCTTGAATACAGTAATTTAGCCCATTCTATAGACATTGAAAGGACCAATATCCCGAATGTGGTTATTTATACCTTATGAGTTTTCCCTTTGCAAGAGGTTTTCTCTCATCCTTAAACAGATATACACATCCCTACTATTTTAGTGGTTAACAAATTAATTGATTGAACTAATTAGAAATCATGGTAGTTAGGAGCTATAAATATCTCCAACTTATTGATATATACCTTCCGACTAATACATATACTTAGGGTGTAGATAGCAATAGTTAATAGCAGACTCTTAAGGTTGTTAACGAGTAAGTTTGATGGCATGGAAGAAAGATGGGAAAAGAGACAAACATCGATGTTGAGCTTAACAATGACGTTTAGCATTTATAGAAGGTAACTTGGCTCTACGAGGATAGGGAAATGAAAAGGAACGTAATAAAAAAATATTTTGGTGCATTAGTTGTTAGTCTTTGTCGTCTTAACTGTTATAAGAAAAAAAAAATCTAAATGGACTAAGAGCCTATACCCATCTCTACCTTTGAAAATGCCCTTAAACATCTCAAAAACAAAAAAAAAATTGTCAAGAATATATACAACGTTATGTTTCGAATGCTATTTAACTTTTAAGATTATTTCGGTACCTCTCTCCATGGAGAGATATATCTATTTAAGATGGGAGAAAACCACTTGGCAGTAAGAACCTTAGCCATGCTACGCTAACAATAAAAATATGGTCAGAGGAACATCTGGTCCACGAGAGGGGGAACAAGAAAGTTGACGATGTGAACAAGCTAATTCTGATCAATCCTCTAATGCAAGCAGAAAAAAACTACCAGTAGGGTTTATCACATATGACAGCAAAATTTGATGAGGATGGGCATGGAAGGTATAGGGAATTTAGTCCTCGAGTGTGCGCAATGCAGAAGGGAGAGCCAAGATGATACTATGTTCGGAACTCCAAGTTCCCAACACTCTCATTTAGTTTTCCACGCGCGTTTTTTACAAAAAGTTTCTATACGTAAGTTGCTTAAAAAAACATATTGATCCATTTTTAAAAAATAAATTAGCTAATACTTAATTAATCATACGCTAATAGACCGTGCCAATTTTCTTGCGTACTATTAGAGTTGGGAACTCATGCATCCGAACACAGCTAAAAGTTGTAGTGTTTATGAGCAGAGGTGACAGAAAGTCTAAAACAAGCAAGCATTTATGTTCTAGTGTTTACAAGCCATTCTTGTCAGCTTGGTTGAGATGAACACCAGTTTGTTATCAATGTTCAGTAAGATTGCGCAGAGCAACATCCAAATTTACCGTGTGTTAGTCCTACCCAATTATGCATAAGCATCACTATATATATATTTTTTCCTTTTCTTAACGGAATTGCTATTCTACTGTCGATAGGAAATCCATCCCCAAAGCTTGAAGACTTTGGGTCATTAGATGCACTTTGTGATTCGTGCTCCCAGTGCTTCTCGTTCAATTCTGGTGACCTCTTATTCTCCGGCGCCAGCTGAACAACTCAAACTCTAGCAGAAGATCTATGAATTACGGTTCTATAATATTCTTTGCTTTTATATTATATGTTCAGCCTTTCAATGTCTTAGCACATATATGAGGGACATACATATCATACTTTACCTCAGAAATTAGGACTTTGAGCATATAAATTTGTCATTGTTATCTTGAACTCCTCCCTTCTCAAGAGCTGTCACTTTTGAAACCTTTATAAGATTGAACTCTGCTACATGCAATAAATAAACGACTACCCATAAATCACGTCTTCCTGTGGTAAGAATAGATAAGGATGCTAAACAAAAAGAAGGTAGCATATTTACACGGCCCCTTTTATCACCTATTCATGAAATTAATAATCACTTTATGTGTATGAATTGTGAAAAAATCTCATGTTATAAAAGGGAGGTCATATTAACAACTCCTCGTTAATTACCATCCTCTGCATTTTGCTTAGTTTGTGCCAAACTTGATGTTTTATCTGTTTCATGGATGAATAATAATCTCAAAGGGATGAAGAAAGAAATAGCTAGCTAGTAGTCCAATGAAGCATGCATATATGCTATCCACCAAAATTACAATTCGTAGAGAGATATACGGCTGCTCAAGCTTTGCCACAGCCATGCGTTCCATCACTGTTGTTCTGGCCTTTTAATCCTGCACTGTGAGTGCATTTAGTTTGCAGAAGAGTATGCTTATCTTTTTTGCAAATTGCATAATGTTATTTATCAGTTATAGGCATGTCGCTTTGCACAATTAATTACATCTCACAAAACAGATGAATTGGTAAATTGTGATCTATCTATCCATGCATGAAAAATACATATTTCCTTGTCGGTTAGGGTAACTTACAGGGAGAGCTTTCTAACGTTGGCATTTGTAAATAGCCGCCAATAAAATATGTGTATACTTGGTGGCTAGTTTGAACTGCCAAATTAAAGACTAATCTTGGCGGCTCATTTTCGTCCGCTAAAGAAATTGTATGGCCACCAAGGACATTTTGTTTTTTTTTTGTAGTGTTAGCCATGTTCTATGTGAGAAGTGCAAACGAACCTAACATCGAATGTGTTCATATGGTTATGCCAACACTATATGCAGACATTAACTAGTACATTACATATAATTTAATTTCAGCACCACCATTAAATATAAATTTACATATAATTATGAAATGATCCAAATCATAGTTTTTTTAGGATTATATTGACATCATGTGTACATCTTATGTATCATCTAATTTTTAGCTTAATAATCTATATTTACATGTTATGATACATCTAGACAAAATGCTTAAGAGCCGATATATCATAGGGAACACTACAAGGAAATCGGCCTAGCACCACGACGCGAAAACGTTGCAATATGGGTGTTTTCGTTGCAATACGGAGAAATCGCAACGAAAAAATTTCGTTGGTAGGCGTTGCAAGTACCTCCGATGCGATAGGGTATCGCAACGAGTGTGTCACACGTTGCCATAAAATCGGCCTGTTGCAACGAGACGAAGCGTGGCAATTTGTTGAAGATGCAACGATAATTGGCGTTGTGTTAGGATAATTGTCATTGCTATAGTTGTTATTGCAACCACGTTTGATAGTTGCAAACAAGCATTATCGCAATGTTATAGTTTCGTTGCAATTTGCTATATTGCAATGATATCTGCAGGTGGCAATAACACGTACGA